AAGCTTACAGATTTATAAAAGAAGCTTTCCGCTTTCCTATTCTTCTGCAGAAGTAGCTTGTTAAGTTACACAATGAAGGTCACGATAAAGCAGTCACCACAGAAGGTGTTAAAAAAAGCTGACTGAAAGAGAATAAGTGTGTTAGCTATGTGAGGATTTGATAGCCAAAGGAGATAATTACATTGTAAGGTTTGCTTATTCACCAAAGCGAAAGCTAAGCCGGTACTGATGGAAAAACCATCCTACAAATTGGTTTTATTTAACATGAAGCAGTGATTGACAATGTTATGAGGGCCTATGTGTGTTTATGACCTCCAAGCTCAGCCATTGACGTAAGCTTCAACCTTTGACCTTTACCTAAAGAGCTGTAACATGAGGCCCCAATGGGAGATCTCTCGATTTAGATCATAAAATGTCAATATATTATGTCTACTCCAAAGAAATCACAGAAATTTCACTATACACTACAAATAGATTGCTTTATGGTTTTTTTTCCATCTGCTCCCAAACGAACAAGTAATAGTTAGCATATCTGTGAGGCAAACTTGTGTAGATGCATAAAAATCTGTTTCAAAGAGAGACATAAAGGTGTGTTTGCTTTTTACCTAATAGTGTGCTATTTGTATTTTTGCTGAGAAATCTTGGCCAGATTTATTGATTTTTTGGATGACGTACGTTTTGATGTTATGTTTTTATACAGTATTAATTAAGTGGAGTTTGCATGTGTATCAATTAAGCATGTGTCCGTCTCTGATATGATGTGTATACAATTGCATGTTTTCTGATCCTCCTTATGTGATTAGTGTCTTTCTAGTACCATGTAAACAAACACTGGCCTTCACCTGCTGTTTTCACAGATGTTCAAAAACAGGTTTTTATTTATGAAAAACATTCACTTTAAGGAATGGTACACAGGAAGAATTATCGCCTGTAAAGTAAAATCTTTCAAAACCAAGTGAGAATTTGTAGGTGTTCTAGTTAGCTTAGCCTTGCCTCTGTCAATGCGACATTTAAACAGATTTTGTATTTATGTTCATTCATTTAGAGAGGGCCTGATGAACTTGTTCAACAATTATTTTTTAACTCTATCCATAAACATCCTGTAAGCAAATCCAGCTGGGTTGTTTCCTTTGTAACTATTACTGATATGTATTTTACGTGATCATTGTCCTGTGACTTGGCCATCTAGTGCTGTATACAATATCCTTAAAATCACACTGGATTTCAATATCATGATGGCCACTTTAAACAATCAACACCATTCATGACTCTGTATCAAACATTTTTTCTAATTAATCTGTCAGAAGATTTTTTAACATCTGTTCCTGAGAAACATTGCGTAAATATCATTATTCTTCAAAATTCTTCATTGAACAACACTTAAATCTGTAAAGGTTGTCTGACAAACCTGCCCCCTTGGGAGCCTACATTGTAGTTAGGTCCCTACATATGCTCATGCAGTGATATTTCATTATAAAGTGGCAGATTTTACAGCAGGCAATATAATCCTCCACTAGAATACACTGGCTATATTGTCTTCATATCAATGTCCAGTCAGAAAATACTGTACTTATTCTATAATAAGCCGAGGGAGCCAGCACACTACTCTCATAGTCTATTACAAATAAGGAAATAGACTTATTGCACAATACTTTAGCATTTGTTTACTGAACAGCAAATGGTAAAGGTGGGCTTATTGACACACATGGGTCTAGTACTACCAGACAAATCTCGTGTGTCTTATTTTCATGTTTTATATTTATACTGCCATTGTTTTATCAAATTTGAGTTTAAAATTCTGTTGACATTTTGGTATTGTTAAGTGTTTTCTTATGAAAAAGTAAAAAAAAAAAAAATGGAAACTAGTTTTTTTTAATTTCATCCCCTATAATTCTGTATTTTAATTTGATGAATATCTCCACTAAATTGGCAGACAACACAACCATATAGATGTTCTGTCAAATACCAGCATCAAAACCAAAGACACATTTCCACTTTTTCCTTTATTCAATTTTTATTTTATCACTTATTTGATATAGGGATTGAACAGAGTTTTTATTGCATTTATGGTGGTATGAATGCAATAGGATACAGGCATATTCTATGTAGCTCGTTATAATTTATACAGGCTTATGTAAATGTATCATTTTAAATGACATTTTCTTCTGCATTTCTGACAAATAATTGCAGACAATAACAGGAAAAATCAGAGAATTTTGAAAAACAACATGTTGACAGTAGAGCAGGTGATGAAGCTGGAGCCAATTTACCATTAATATGGAAACAGGTTTTTTTTTTTATTCCTGGTCATGCAAACATTTCTGGCATGAAGCAGCAACCTAGCACCAGTTCCTGCCAGGAACTAAAATAAAGCAAGGCAATGACGTCAGTACACATTCAATGCCATTACTTTCACTCCGACACCTGGCCAGACTTAACACAAGATCCTTTACACGTAGTCAATGCCAGTACAGGTGTGAAAGTCACTGATCCCGATTAATTTACATACAGGTAAAAGTAGTAAACAGAATGGTATGTTGGTCAGCTACAACACCAAGGTCATTTTATCAGTACACAATCTACATTTTTCCTGAAAGAAGTCTCCCTGATTTGATTTCATCATTACTACACAGACATCCAACAGGTTACATAATCAATTTACTACAGTGTTACTATTTTACAAATTATCTTTCTCCAGACAGGAACTTTAACAGAGTTCCTCATTCTGTAACACTTGAGCAAAGATTTAAATTAAGCTGTGATATTTATTTATGATATAACGTTTAGTATGATCTAATAGGAAATGATCATGTATGATCCTAAGTTAACAGAAAAGTTAGTCATTAAGTGTTTTTCACTGTTCAAATGAACCTTGCACATTAACTTCACATACCAGGAAAGAAGACAGAATCATTTTTAACACCGAAAGCAAAAAGGCGGAGTACATGAGATCTCCTTACCAGATGAACAAGTTTCCTAACAGTGCCACCCACACAATTTCTTTTTTGAAGGAAGAGATGACTGGAATACACCCTCAGACGAATATTTATCAGTAAAATTTAACAAGTTGATAGATTTTGACATACCAGGTTTCCTTTCACCAATAATTTACTATGAAAACTTGAATTCTCTGAAATTATTGTGCAAATAGTAAAAGGCATAGACACTTAATCACAAGCAAACATTCCAAACTTTTCTTCTGAAATATCAAAATTCTGCTTCTAGATACTAAAGTACATTGCACTTCCATATTCTACATCATCAACTGTTAAGTTAGGAAAGGATTTACTATTTTCCAGTAGCTGAAAAGACAAGGAAAAGTTGACAAGACTTAAGTGTCTTTCATTTGTGTGTAGTTGCAGGGCAGTGACCGACGGAAAGCAACACTGTGCCTTACTGAGCTATGTCAGTACCAGGCACAGCATCCGACGAAATCCTTCAAAAGTTAAACACGTCTGAATAACATCTTTAGAGGGGGCTCCTTGTAATTAGTTTTCGACCTAGTGACATTTGTCTGATGTTGATGGAGTGTGCTGCAGGCCCTGTGACCTCACCATCACAGGCCACTCCAGGTGTGGATGTGGCTGCAGAAGCCACAGAAAGTCACTTCAGTAATAGTGAGTTTGACCCAGTGGCATTTCCAATCTGGACACTAGCAGGGTGAATACATGACAACTGTCACACATAGTTATGTGTACAAATACATCAGAACATGCCAAACTAATTACAACATTTCTCTAGGTTAATTCTATAGAAGACAAAATTGTGTATGTTTTCTTTCATTCAAATTCCTTTCACTATATATACATCTTTTTTCATAAAGCTGTTTTAATATATTACTGTACTCCGAACATACTAGACAAAGTCGACCTTTGTTATACTGTTTTGCGGTATTCAGGAAAAAACTCAGATTTTCACAAATGGTTTTGTCATCAGAAATCTGACCCACATCACCAGGCATCACGATCTAAACTTCATTACAAGTCAATGTTATTCAACTGTGTATAACTCTACAGATAAAAAGGTCGCGGTTATGAAGCATTGCAAGAGCGTCATCATTAAGAGAGGTATTCTTATGTATTATCGACTTTTACATTTCTTCACAGGAAACTGTTAAAAGTCTGTCTGGCTGAACAGAGAGAACATCAATGAAATGAAATGGCTTGAATCTTGTGTAATAACATTATAGCCATTTCCATAAGGACAAAGCCTCTTTTTTGAGGAAATGTAGGCAAAAGTCCTACAGATCAAACAATATTTCTTACTAAAGAATGCACCTGACTGACACTTACACAATGACTGACATTTATATGTCGCACTCTTATGAATTAATCGCAGTTTTGAATGTATCTATGTAAATTATACATTATATAAATATGCTTGGATTTCAAACACTTTCAAGATCATGTACCTTGACCTGAAAAAGAGCATCTGAAGTCTGGTGATGACAAACGTTCTCTCTCTATAAGCTACATTTTCTGCTGAGGGAGTCTTAGAAAGAACTTTGTAAACCATTATTCTCTATTCTGCTATATATATATATATATATGCCCATTTTATGATATCAATTAAAATCCGATCTCCAATTGTGAATTATGATATGATAAAATGTTCTTTTATATAATTGTCAAATAATTCAGTATCTTTAAATAGTTGAATCCTGAACATCAAACAGTATATAAATGCTGTGTTCCTCATTGGTTATCATGGTTTTAAACAATATATAATTTATAAAGTATTTCACTTCTGTTTCCGACAGACTCAAATACTGGTTTATATATCCCTAAATGATTTTGGTCTTTCAATCCTTACTTACACGCCTTTATTTGCGAAAGTTCTGTGATCTCACTATCTAGTCTGATTAAGCTTTAGGATGACTTTGAATTTTTGCTCTACACTAACTGTTTTGTCTGCACTCCATAGTGGTGCATGTTTTTTTATGTATGTTCTTCCACACGGAATCAGAGGCTGCAGAGATAGATTGGTTTTACTAGATTTACCTTCAGATCTCTGTGGACGACATGATGGTTATGACAGTATTCCACGGCAAGTATAATCTGCCAAAACTTCTTGCGTGCCTCTTGTTCCGTCATGCGTCCGTGTCTGGCTATGTAATCTACAAAGAGATGAACAATTTGTTGCTTATGATCACGGGCAAAAAATTTGCAAAAATTTCTTAAAATAACATCACAAAAATATGTATTAATTTGTGCAAGATGTCCAGATTAACGACACCCTCCATTCTGTGATCCGGAGTCTGGGAATCAGCGTCCTATCCATGACCTTGGGCCAAGGAATCAGCCCCCATTTTGAGACCTGGGGCAAGTGAAGAAGTGCCCTTCCTGTGATCTGGGGCCAGTGAGCAGTGCCCTTTCTATGATCTGGGGCCAGTGAAGAAGTGCCCTTTCTGTAACATCTAAGGCCAATGAAGCAGTGCCATGTCTGTGATCTGGGGCTGGGGAATCAACCATTGTTATAACACTTTAATTATGACCTCAATTTCATTTCATTGTGTATTTTAATTACTATAATTAATTTAAATTCTGGTATAGATATTTTACTGATAACTATTTGAATTGGAAATGCATTAAATGAAAATCCTATTCATTTGAATATTTCTATCCTATGTTGTGACTAACATACATCTATACCAGGTTGTTTAATATTATATTTAGATGTTAGCTTTCCATTCCTATAAGCAGCCTTCTAATTGGCCCATATAATCTTTATTAATGATCTTCGTTTTGCAGATCTTTGATAGTAAGTTTTGACTCCCAAAAATAAGCTTTGAATCTTAGGACTGAAGGGGAACGCCAATTTCACAAATTATTTAATACTATTAATGCTTCAGATTTGTGATTTGAATTCTGAAATTGCCAAAAGGTCGCCTGAATGCCCTGTAATAAGTGATCAGGCCTCTTCATCCACTTTTATTGAATGTATATCATTATCATAATTTACGGTGCATATTTAGCACCCTTGTCTACGTCATCCATTTTGGACCCCTCAATCTGTTCTCATTTACAGCAGACGTCCTTGGCACAAGCCAGTGTAACTTCTTTCAGGCACATTTGAGTGTTCTATTTTAAGTGAAGGCATGACTTACGAATTTTCCAGGCACTGTTATGAAAGCTAAAAATAGTAGCAGCATTTTAACAGGCCAGGGTGAAGTACACTGATACATTTATATACTGACATCACATGAAAAGGGCTTGTCATAACCCTCATGGTCTGACAATATTTGGAGGCGGGCTCACTGTAAGTTTTAAAGTCCAATAACATGAAGGAGGGCTCAATGCATCCCTCAATGTCTTACAAGATGAGGAAACAGTCTCACTGTAATTCTCAAGGTCTGACCATATGTCGAGAAGGGCTTGCTAAAACATTCACAGTGTGACATGTTGAGGGGGGCTTGCTATAACACTCACAGTGTGACATGCTGAGGGGGGCTTGCTATAACACTCACAGTGTGACATGTTGAGGGGGGCTTGCTATAACACTCACAGTGTGACATGTTGAGGGGGGCTTGCTATAACACTCACAGTGTGACATGTTGAGGGGGGCTTGCTATAACACTCACAGTGTGACATGTTGAGGGGGGCTTGCTATAACACTCACAGTGTGACATGTTGAGGGGGGCTTGCTATAACACTCACAGTGTGACATGTTGAGGGGGGCTTGCTATAACACTCACAGTGTGACATGTTGAGGGGGGCTTACTATAACACTCAATCTGACATGTTGAGTGGGGACTTGCCATAACCTTCAATGTATTAACTGCAAATGAAAGTCCCTAGTGGTGACAGCACAAAGAATCTTTACTCTCCCTTCTACTTATAGCAGTGGCAACCTTATCTGTATAAGTCTTCATCTTCTCAAATTATACTGACAAGATAAACAATAATGTAAAGAATTTACAATAATACTACAAAACTGGATTTTATCCCTGGAATAACTTCTTGGAATAATAACATGCTTATATCTGAGTGTCAGGCAGACTTTTGGGAATGTTTACAATGTAGGTTGGTTGGAGAACCACTGTGATTAGGAAGTTGACCTAAATGTCCACAATTGTCACACAGACTTCACTGGATAACCAACCCTTGGTACAATGGATAACCAACCTATGTGTAGGAGGAGTGCACCTTCAGCTCTGATTGGGTGTCAATAAGGAGATGATGAGAGAGCAGCTGCGATGAGGACAGGAATGTCAGAGACAAAAGATCAGTGATAATTACACTGCTAGTAGTGTGCATATCTATACAATACAAAGGAATAGAAATGTCAAAGTTGAACTTTTGCCCAAGTGTCTTCAAAACTCAACATGCAATTTAATATCCCAAGCACAACCTGAGACTACTACACATCCCATAATAACCATGGCTGGTGCTGTGTTGCCTTGGCAATACCAAATGACGTACATGTTACCAGCGTAATGGAAGAATCGCACATAAAAATGCAATAGACAATTAACAAGGACTTGCTAGAAATCAAAAGGCTATCATAAAGATAGGCACATGATGCTTAAAATTGTGTACTGAAAAACTACAAACAGGTATACAGTGCACTAAAACAGTCCTCTATAGACAGGTATACAGGGCACTACTATAGACAGGTATACAGTGCACTAAAACAGTCCTCTATAGACAGGTACACAACACACTAAAACAGTCCTCTATAGACAGGTACACAGGGCACTAAAACAGTCCTCTATAGACAGGTACACAACACACTAAAACAGTCCTCTATAGACAAGTACACAACACACTAAAACAGTCCTCTATAGACAGGTACACAACACACTAAAACAGTCCTCTATAGACAGGTACACAGGGCACTAAAACAGTCCTCTATAGACAAGTACACAACACACTAAAACAGTCCTCTATAGACAGGTACATAGTACAATAAGGAGATGGAAAGCCAAAGTGAATAGATGCATTATTTACAGAAAGGCTCTTGAATTAGAAAAGTAACAATACCAAGTGTTTAGAAAGGGTAAGCATCTTCTGCTTCACTGACACCATGAGCAAATTCACTGACCAAAATGTAAATGAGATTGAATAGTGTTGATATTCACAAATTTGAAACATACACATACATACAGACACACACACAAATGTTAACTTACCAAATATTTCACCATTAGGAGCATATTCTGACACTAGGTATAACATGTTCTTTGTTTCCATAACCTGTAAAATAATAAACAGACATTAATTTCACATAAAATTTTAAGAATTTAAAGCATCAAAACATCATGTTTAAATCAGTTGAGATAAAAATGTGTAACACATATAATAAACCAATTTTAACATAATCATTCAGACCGCCTATAAGTCATTTATTATGTAATCTTTATAAAATCTTTGATTTTTTCTTTTCCCAGAGAGACATGATAGCATGCTGATACATACAAATGGATTGAGAAAAGACAACTCAAATAAAATTGAGACTTCAACCAATTCAAAATTCAAATTTAATTCAAAGATTTCATTTTTCTTCTCTAAATATACAATTTTAGTGTGTGATTTTACTGAATGGGCAGCTTTTTAATGAAACAGGGATCAATGCATTATGCCATGAATTTACACATATAGACTAAAATTGCTCTTTAACAGCCATATATGGTAGTGGTAGCCTTGGCTAGGAGCCAAAACAACAACTACTTCCTGTATACCCGGCTGTTTTATGAATGAGGACAAGAGTACCTGTATCCTACAGCTTCACCGACTTAACCAGGTGCAACGTTATCGTCCTTTCATGAAAGTTAAAATATACATTTCTGTATGTATGCCACGAATCAAAGTGAACAATTTGTACACTAAATTTAATTTCATCATCTGTCATTCTTACAAGATCACAATATAAAACTTTTTTTTATATTTAAATGGAATGGTTTTGTGGTTTTATTTTCTGTAATGTCACGATCTAATTCTTTCCCTGCTATTATCTAGAAAAAGACACTCATGTAACGAGGACTTGATAATCCTAGTGAGCAGCACATAAAAGGCCTCCTTGTCAAGGTCTGTTACTATAAAACCGATACAGGTAAATACATGTTTTTATCAATAGGTACAGCCTTCTGGATCCATAAAACATTAAGTGTTCAATTACTGTTTAAAACATCTTTTTCTTCAAATTTTTCTTTTTTATCTGTTTTCAATCATAACCTCTTTTATCTAAAATGTTTCTATAAAACTTCTGGAGAAAAAACAATCTGGATTTTGCCCAATCCTTCGAACAAATAAGGTGAATAACCTTTGAAAATCACTGATGACGAATCTCCTTCCTTTCTGGAAGATTCCAATGTTATGAGCTACAATACAGATGCCTTTATTGACAATCCAGATAACCTTTTGCCATGTAACTTGTGGAAACTACAAAAACTACCTAGACTATGAGACAAAACCTGATAAATGCTCAAACTTCCTGCTACTAAACTTCACGTAGTTTCAGACCAAATTGTCTGTCAAAGTTTTACTGAGGGTTTTTTTATAGTGTTGTGACAAACAAAAACACTTATGAGATCTTAAGTAATTACTTTCCTTTTTCTAACTTTAAGAGAGTTTCACAAGTCAAGGATATAATAAATATGGTTACAGCTGAAAGCAAATCAATAACTACTGCTTTAGTGTCCATTAAGATATGTAAACTTGGAAATCTTCAGCATTTCAGAACATTGTTTGGAATCTCATTATGCACTAAACAAGTGAATTCAAAATTTCCATCTTGTGTGTCTTCTTCGAAAAAAAAAAGTGTGTATTATGAACAGATTCAAATAAGAATATAGAAATTTCAGACAAATTCATAAATTTTACTTATTTTAAAATTCATAATTTACATCTTGTGTTATTTTATAATAAAAAAAAAATCAGACATAATTTATAATGTTTTATCTATCTTCTATAAAAAATGATATAAATACATACATGTTAATCAGGATTGCAAACAGCTAGAAAAGTAAAATGGGTTGGATTTAACAATTCTAAACTTTAAAAAAATAAAACAAGGTATTGTTAAGAAGTTGTCAATCTGAAATCGATACAAAATCTAAGTACATTATCAGGTATGAAAAAAGTTGTGTAAATAGATTAGTGACATTTAAAGGAACCTCTCTTTATGGCTGAACAATACAATCATTTACAGTTGGAATATTTATAAATTCTAGACATGTAGACACACAAAGAGTCTGTGTTTGTACAAAGACATTTGTTGGAATTGACGAATACCTTATGTAGCGGTTTTGTTTACATACAGTCAGCTAAACTACGTCAGTAAGTAGACAGACCTATCTCACAAAGTACAACATTACATACAGTCATACTGCTCCTTTCAAATCTCTTAATTCCATAACAAATAAGATTTGTAATACCTCCAAATATTTGTCTTTATGATGTCTGTAATGTTAACAACAACTTTTATACGTAAATTAGGGGTGAACAACCGTCAATTTCTACATCTATAAACTATATCCGGGAAACTGTATTTATTGAAAACACAGATTTACGTCACTACTGAAGACACTGACCCTTTAATGGCTAACATAACTTGACTAAAGCTGTGAGGTCATGTATTATTGTTGTAGGTCATTTACATAGTGTTTAGGCTATGTACATTTGAATGTATTCAAGGAAGTTGCTAGAGGTTGAAGATCTTATCAGTCACTGCTTTCAAAATTGTTTTTAAATTTTTGTAATTTCTTTTTTTCATTTCAAATTTTATCATAATGACAAACATAAATTCTTCAAAAGATTTGTGAAAAATACTTAAACACACCACCAGCTCCCTCGATCCTCAAAGAAACCATGAATTTTGAAATTGTTTCAGAATCAAATAATATACTTAAGGACTGGGAAACAAGTCTAATTCAACAGAACCATAATGGTTTTTCAAATCATCTCATGACCATTTTTAACAAAAGCCTCAAATAGCTTACATTTTATATATTGTATCTGGCCATTTCCTTCGTGTCTTTTTTTCTCAGATTTACAAATATAACAAAACTATCCAGAAAGTGGTATCAGCTATAACTTACTGTAAAATATTTTCCTTGGACCTTTCCATATTTTACAGTGGCCTAAAGCTGTCCAAATATTAAACTTGTAAATAATCATCTACTGATCCTATCTCTAATAAACAGTATGACGTAGAGGTTTGAGTGACTGACTGTATTGATAAATATTGATTACTTACAAACCTATGTAGGTAGATGCGGAAGTCAGGGTTAGGGCCACGTAACGTTTACTTTGTGCTGAAGATTAAAGTAAATAAAGAAGAGCTTGGTGGGGGAGCTAACATACCAGGGATTTACGTCAATGTGGAGCTAATACAGGTGTGCTGTAAACATTGTCTTACGAACAGCCTACCTGTAATTCCACCGTATTCAAACATTGTTACACTTCTGTATACAACATGGAATCCCTCCAAATTATCCTGATTTGCTGGCGTCAATGGTTAAGGTCGTGGGTTCATTAGGTCACAGGGTCATCTACATATATTCTATCAATGTAACCCCTATTATATTGCCCATCAAATATATAGTTCGTGGTACTGATAACAGGTGTAGGAATAAAGTACTTACATTACACACTTTTCTATCCCAATGATTTAAATGAATAGTAAGAAGACTTTATAACTTGTTAAAACATTCAATATAATGCTTTCAACTTATCCTCTGAAATCTTGATTAAAAAGAGGAAATCTTTAAGGGCAAATATCCTTTTTTAAAAATTTCTTTTCCTTTTCAAAAATTTACAGTGTTTAACTGTACGTCTGAAACTCAGCAGTTCTACATGGATAAATATGAATTTTGTCCATTATGAAAATAAACATCACAGATGTCTGATGTTTATAGGGATGTACAAAATATATAGATCAACATATATCAGAACTTGTCTTCTTTACACACACTGTAAAAATGTAAGTTGATCAATATGAGTTACATATGGATGTAAAGCTATCAACCAGTTCAGGAATACAGCCCAACTTTTCACATTTTTAGTTATTATACTCTAGACCAATTATTACGAGAGCTGATTTAGGAGAGAAGTGATTAGGCTTTAGGTATTGTTATGACTTATGAGCCAAGGCACCAGATACAGATATGACTTAGGAGTCGATTAAGAAATGATGTGACCATCAGAGGTCATGTGGTACGGTCAGTTCTAATGGGATTACTGACCAGTGGTATTGTGTTTAATCTCCATAATTTGGTCAGTGGGTTTAAAAGTCATTATCAGATTGGTATGTGTATTCAGATATGAGTATCGGGAAGTTAAATCAAATGCATTACGGAAGGGAATATCTTAATGGATTAATTAAAGACGTTTTAAGAATGATTGTAAACGATAGTCAGAATTCATGTTCAGCGAATTTTTTAAAGCTGATTTTTACATTTGAAATGCTTTTACAACCTTCTCGTGCACTTATCTTAGCACCAATTCACTTTTAATGAATTGGTTTCGTAGCCAACACAACAGATGGTACAATAACATCTCACAAGCATCAGTTTCAACTGATTAATCAATTATTAAACTTAACAATCACTTAACTGGTAATGGCAGTCATAATTTCCTATTGTGAGTGTCAGGTTTGAAGCAAACAACTTGTAAAAAGTCAAGGTAATGGTTATTGTGATACTGACTTTAAAATCCTAATTAATTCATAGCATGGTTTTAAAATGAATGTGCCCCTGAAACGATCTCATTTTCATTAGTTAAAGTTATGGTTTGTAAGGCATTGATCAGAGATCTTCAATGAAGCTTTTATACCTAGCAAGACAATAATTATACATTGTTTTGTTACAATAGTTAATAAAAAAACACAAATATTCCAATACTTTCATTGATTATTCTCTTAAAATAGCATGAAAATACAAGATTTGCCGTAGGAAGCATTTTTCTCATTAGCATCCTTGGAAGAGTGTATTGATTAAGATAGTGTGAACAGTATGAGTCACCACAGGTACAGGTACAGCAAGCAGCAGACGAGGTAGAGTGTTCCAACAAGTGCTATAATATTTATCATAACAGTCGCAACATGGAGGTATGCGATGAATTCCTGCTTAAAAATGCCAAAGAATTAAACGTTAATTCCAGATTCCTGCTTTTTTTTTTTCTTGCTTTTTTTCATTGAGTTTTTTTTCTCTTTTTTGGTGTTGTTTCACTTTACTGTATTTTTATATTCTTTATTTGTCAGGAAACAAATGCATCCCAACTACATGTCCTCTTTGATAACAGCTCTATGATGTACAAATTCAATGTGGAGTTTTGTGATGTTCCTATCCAATACTGCTAATATATTTTGGTGTCATGATTCCATGTACTTGTTTTAATTTGTGAAGCTGCCATTCGGTATGATCGTTTTTAAAATGTCACGATTCCATGCCACCTGCTGTGTTTATCACCATATCAATCAAAAGTGACACAGCATCAGCCTCTGTAACTTTGGAGTCAAAATCAAATTTATAGCAGCACCACTGAGGAATTTATCACTACAGCTAAAATTTTATGTTCCCCCAACGAACATAAGACTTTGACTAAATACCTCATAACAGTCTATTATATTGGGGTGACAATGACTACATACCTGGTGAAGTTTTATTATATTGGGGTGACAATGACTACATACCTGGTGAAGTTTTATTATATTGGGATGACTTAGCATCTTCAGTATTTGAACTTCTCTGTCAATTTTCTGTAAATTATTTTCATCCAGTTGTGTCTTATCTATAATCTTGATGGCGACCTGAAATTTAAAACAAAAATTGATTAAATAAATTATCACTTTGACTTGCTCAAAACAGAATAATACTAAACAAAATAAATCTCCCTGATTCAGACAAAATATAAGAGTGAAAAATAACAAAGGGCAATAACTCCTAAATTATGTAATAGAGAGTGATGGTTCTCTAGTGCACTGCACTTCCCTTTGTTGAGATTTATCTACCTATGAAGTTTTATGTTGATACCTCTTATATTTTTTTAAGCTTTGGACAACATTACGACGGACAGATAAATGGACAGACGGATGGACAGACAGACAAATCGATGACTACATGCTCTCCCCTTTGGGTAGCACAATAAAATTTGATGTAACGTTTGTCACATGTATGGAACAGAATCATAACATATTTCACAAGATTAATTAAATCTGAAGGAAATTAAATGGACTTCTTAGATGATTGAAATGAAAGACAGTTGACAGTTCCCAGTTTCATCAACACAGAGTGAAGTTGAAGAGAGATACAAGTCTCATCAAAACTGAATGAAACTGGACAAAGTTATCAGTTTAATCAAACCTAGATGATATATTACATTAGTCTAATGAGAATTCACAGAGACATCAAATTGACAGGAGTAGAAATCAGCAGGAAGACAAAATTGTCAGATGGAGGATAGACAAAATTGTCTGATGGAGGATAGACAAAATTGTCAGATGGAGGATAGACAAAATTGTCAGATGGAGGATAGACAAAATTGTCAGATGGAGGATAGACAAAATTGTCAGATGGAGGATAGACAAAATTGTCTGATGGAGGATAGACAAAATTGTCAGATGGAGGATAGACAAAATTGTCAGATGGAGGATAGACAAAATTGTCAGAAGGAGGATAGACAAAATTGTCTGATGGAGCATAAAGAAAATTGTCAGATGGAGGATAGACAAAATTGTCAGATGGAGGATAGACAAAATTGTCAGATGGAGGATAGACAAAATTGTCTGATGGAGGATAGACAAAATTGTCAGATGGAGGATAGACAAAATTGTTAGATGAAGGACAAACAAAATTGTCAGATGGCAAAATTATAAGATGTGAGACAGACAAACTATCGGATGGAGGACAGACAAAATTGTCAGATGGCAACATTATAAGCTGGAAGACAGACAAACTATCAGATGGAGGACAGACAATAAATAAATATAAATTCCTCAAAATATAAGCCTATAAATTTGTTCTTTGTCGAAATATTGACAGGCAACTGAAAACATCCTGACATGCAATAATGACACATGTATCTATGTAGCTGACATAACTATGTAAAAAACAGCTAGATTACCAACATACATAAATTACAGTACATTCACTCTTACCACTGATAACCCATATATGTGCCTAGAATTGTATTTTGTGGATGTTTTCCATTGATTCTCCGCCAGCAGTATAATCGTTAGGCTTACTAATTTAAGAGCTTTGCTCATAAATAAAATAATCCTGTATATTATTGTGCCCATTATCACTGACAATGTACCAAAAACTGTAAAACACCCAGGAGAATTCCAACACAGACAGAGACAAGCCAGAGAACAAAAAGGACAGAAATTTTAATATTTAGCATCAAATTTTCAGGGACGTGAAATGGGGATATTGTGTTGTTACAGCCAGATACCTGAATCTCCTCAGGTCATATTCCACACTAGTACACAAGTCCTTGTGTTGTTATATCTCACCTGTACAAAACACTTGAAAGTTGTACAACAAAACCTTACCGACTATATAGGATGGTATGAAAAATGGGTGAATAAAAAACTCATTTATTGGAAACTAGTCACCTTGATATGACAATATTGATATTGCACAGTGTTACGTTCCACACTACTAGTACACATAACATACATGTTTACAAGTTTTATCAGACTTTTACCAGTACACACCAGTTGTCAGAAACCTGTAGATTTTACAGAAACATACCCAGCATTAGTCAACACATATAAAATACAAATGTTCAAAACAGTTTCATTTTTACAAGTCATTCATACTTCCAGAAAAACAAGCTTGTTAAAATACAACTTTCCAAATAGACTAATACAACACACCCTCATTATAGATATTTTTTTTCAAATCCTGTATATTCACTACAACTGTATATATATCTATATAAGTGTTAGAAGACAAATCACTTGAACTTTTGACCTTCACACAATGGCACAAGGTCATATTCATAACTTACAATATGTTATCCTTCAAACATTCAACGGATATCAATATTTATGAACATAACCTGCAGCCAGTGAACAGTCAAGTACACTTTTATTTTTTCAACATTTCTATTTGATATTTTTCCTTTTTTTTCATTTACCAGAGTATATACATGTATGTCTCAAGATAAAAACATTTGGTAGAAAAATGGTCTGCCAGTGAAAACGCCTAAGGTCGTATGTACATTCATCGCTCTGTATCCACCTACATAATGATATATATACTGTACCACAAAGAGACAGGTCTGTCAGACCTAAATTTACCCACGCAAGCTGTTTTTGTACCATTCTTTTAATGAATCAATGATACATATGTACTAGGGACTATTCTGAAACTTGATTCTTCAACAAGTTGAGGGACCCAATCCATTAACATATTTTTCAGTGTCAAGGGGTGTGTGCTCATTACAGAATAATGAAATGTAACGTTAATATATAACTTTATGGTATCACAAAGCATCTCAAACATTTGTAATATTTTTTCAAAAAATCAAGACAGACACATTGTAAGCTAAAAATAGGAAATTGTTCAGTAGAATAGATTGATGTAAAATATCGTGCAGTTCTGTTGACTTCTGCTAATGACACGAGCACTATCAATAATGTAAAAATAAATTGTGCACGATTTTTTCCTTATCAGCACTAGGTGTGATAGCAATCAGGTGGATTATTTCATCTATTTTCTCCACGTATTGATCACCACTACTAGGGTGGACTGATTGATCCTCGACATTACCCAGACTGTAGCCAGTCACAGCTAGAGTTAGAGATAGACTTTACAAGTTTTACATATGTGTATTATACTAGTACATAATACAATAATCAAGCTGGCGCATTCATCATATATCATGTATAAAAAAATAGGTATATTTTGCTTACATATTTTCCCATTTCATACATAGATAGGATTTTTTGCATATTGTTTTATTAAAGCTACAAGCAAGCAAGAAGATATTTAGGTATTATGAATATACATCTTTTTGCATTTTCACTTATTTTAGTAATTTTTGTACTCAAACTATCGGCTTAAATATGATTATTGCATTTGTCAATAAACAATTACTACTGATGTGAAAAACAATTGTTGCGCTAATTTCCAAAACAGTGATAATGCACTGAAATTTGATTAGTGTGTCTACGATATAGGGTTATTCAAGAAAAAAGGTTTACTCTGTTGCAAAATGCCAACATACAAATTTTGACCCAAAATTGAAGGATCAACTTTTGCTGGATAAGGACATACTATAAAACAACAATATGGGTAGGTAGATAGTGCCTTAACAAAATGTACTAAAATGTATAAGGGAAATTTTGAATTTGAAATGATTATCTGCAAATACCTTATATATAAATAAGGAAATATGACCGAAAATATATTATATTTAAGCGAGATGAAGGAAGTCTTAAAATGATAAAAATATCATGTGATATCAGCACAATGAGCACATTTTTCTAACCTATTTCCTGTTACATCATCACACAGGTGATATATTTACAAACATTGATGGATTCATGAATATCACTGATGGTTTACTGTACCAGCTCACAACAGCACTGGCTACATCACCTTACCATTTGACACCAAAATCTTAGTGATAGTTTTCTGTATACAGCTACAGAGGCCTATAAAATATACATTCAGTTAGGAAATTCTCATCATTGTTTCTATATTTCTAGAGAAAACTCATTATCTTAACAATATATTTATAAATGTTGCAGTATATTATAGTATTAAACCCTATCACTCAATTTAAAAAAGTATTTCTGAAATCAATTTACTTGACCATGAATAAAATTTCTATATTTAAATTTTTGTACATTCTACAAATGTTGGGAAAAAAATAGCTACACTTTGTAAGAAAAAAATTATAACATCTAAAAAATGTAGAAAAAATATTGTTTTGACATCAAAGAAGTCTTACAGCGAATCCAATCATCGGTTCTAAAGTGTCATGTACATCATACAAAAATCAGATCACATTAACTGAACCTAAAATTTCAATTAACAGCTCTGAATCAAGACCGCGAAACATTTAACATATAAAACGTGACTTTTGTACACGTTCCAAACTCTATCACAATGGATGTATGTAAGCCTATACAAAGTCGTCCGTACCTAGGATGTCTTTGATTGGACAGGTTTTATTGTTTAACTTGACAATCAAACAACAAAGAGTATTATACCTAATTAACATACTATTCCCATTTAAACCATGTAACTGCCGAATCATGAGTATTACCAGATTAATATGTACCGTTAACCACTACATGACAAGGAATGAGATATGATACACATACTTATTATACAATATTTTACAAGTGTTAAGAGTCATGATCACACATCTAAAATATATGCTATTGGAAATGAAATGATTCTATACCTATGTAAAAAAAATTGTGGAGATTTCCAAAAGATATTTGACATTCAAATGTTTACCTACCAATTATTTATTAGTGTTGTCAATGTCAGTTTCTGTACATCCTGCTGTTTGAAAGAAACATTTCAAAAAACTTCCCTCTAAGCTTTTGTGTATCCTGATCACTAAGACATCCCACTGATTAGCATTTCTTGACTAAAGAAGACACTTTAATTATGCAGCCTCAAAACATATTTTTAAAAATATTTTTTGAGTGTTTCAGGCAATACCACACAATCACAATTAAAAGCTGGGTTTATCAAAGAACATATGCAGGTGTGATACTGGTATGACGTATTCATACATCCGTCCAGCTGTATGGTGGAATGTTTCATTTCACAAGTTGATATA